TTGTGAAGTTGGTGAACGTAACACACTTGGTTGGGGCTTGAAAGACTAACAACTTATGTTTTTCATCAATAGGTTCCCCGCAGTAAGTTGCAGGCAACAGTGCTCCCTTTCATGGCTGGCTTCTCCCTTGCTGAAATATCTATCTGGTCCTGGTGGGAAGACACTGAGGAAACAGTGTGGCATGCTGGGGAAATCTTTGCCTTTGGATCAAAAAGATCTGCGCTCCAATCCCAGCTCTGCCACTTGTTTGTTGTATGACCTCAGGCTGGCTACTTACTCTCTAAATTTAACATTCCTTACTGATATAACAAAGAAATGAATGCTTTACAAAATTGCAGTGAGGATTCAAGAGAAAGAAAAAAGAAAGCAAGCAAGGAAGCAAGCAAGCAAGCAACTAGGAAAAGACTGACACAAGAGCAAGGACTCTGGCTTCATCCTCTACTATATTCCTCGTGTCTGATACGTGGTAGGGTGTTTGTTGAATGGATGTAGTAGTTGTTCAACAAATGGCAACCACAACTGTCACTGTTATTAGGCAATTCTTTGCCCAAAAAGGAGCCAAAAAAATTGTAATATGCTATTGTTCCCAGTCTTTAAGAATGTGTGTATATTAGTATATTATATATATATATATAAAATATTGTACAAAGGGTATACAAATCTAGAGTTTGAAATGAGTGTCATAATGTTATTATCAAAATATTATAACTTGGTGTAGCCAATGTATTTTTTGAAAGGAATGTCAATGTGCCTCACCCCCAATAGCTCCCTTGTGGACTAAAAATAAGAGAGAAAAAGGAATCTGACAATACCTATAAAAATAGATCTGAGACAAGATTGGAGCACGAACATATATGGTGAGACTAAATCTTTTCATTAGTCCACAAATCCCACTAATTCATGATCTCAATTATTAGGTAGAAAGAGATTAGCTGTTCCTTCCTCTAGACACGATGAGAGCATTCGGGAAAAGGAATTTTATATCTGAAACTGTGGTGTGTTCATCTTTGTCCTTCAGATTTAGAGAAAAAAGAATTTTATAACTTGCACTATGAGAACTCTAGGAAGGGCTGGAAGCAATGAATGATTAGGCTGGATAAGAGAAATATTTAATTGGAATTTCTCATGTTGGGAAGTACTAGGTATAATTATAAAGGGAATCAGAAAGACAGCTTGAGTCCTGCCTCTGCCACCTCTTTTTCCTTACCTTGTCATACAGGTTTTACTGAAGGCTAATGAACTTTCTCTTAATAATTGATCTATTCAGCAAATATTTACTGAACTCTGCCCTGTGTGAGACTAACTCGGTAGGCACTGCCATCATTATAAAGTAGCAATTGGCTCCATGGGCTTTGGAATCAGACACTTCTACCCTTTGCACCAGGAGACCTTGGTAAATTGCTTGAGTTTTTTAAGTCTTGGTTTCTTTATTTGCAAAATAGGGAAAAAGATCTATCTTGTCACAAGCATTGTTATAAATATCACATAATAAAAACCACATAAAACACTTAGTACAGTCCCTGGCAATAAGCGCTCAACGAATATGAGTTGGCAGTTGTAAGTACTGTTACTTTTCTGAAAGAAGCTCTGGGAATGACTTCTAACATTAACTGCTTTAATAAAATAAATGATTTTTTTTTTTTTTTATTTCAGCAAATTATGGGTGTACATATGTTTAGGTTACGTGTGTTGACCTTGGTTCCCCCCTCCAAAAATAAATGATTTTCAAAGGCAAAGTTGTCAATCATGTCCTATAGTAAAAAGCCATTTTAATTTGTAAGCTTTACTACTCTCAGGATGTCTGGCCCTCCGTGATAGCTTCTGACCTCACCCAAAGCTCACCTAATCAGAAGTTAACATTATTTCTGGTTTGGCAAATGCTTGTCCAGCCTAAGTCTAGAAATCCATAACTTCTGATTTGATGAAACTGTTTATCAACAATGTCCAAGGGTTCCTTTAAAAAAGATAAATTCAACCATCCAGTTCTTTGCTAGAGTGTAGATTTTAGACTCTTGTTCATGCATAATTGCATGGATATGGCTTATATGGAAAATAAAACTATGTATTTCTAAATTTAAAGGAAATTCCATTCCCTTGATGAAATTAACACCTCTTTTCAGAACATATCTGTTCCACCAGCAAATCCTGTTGGTGTTTCCTGCTAAATTTATGTAAATTTCAACTACCTTTCCCTCTCCACCACATTAAAAGCTGGCTTTGGTCCTTCCCCCACACTGTCTTCCATCCAGCCTCCTGGCCTCCTGTCCCTTTTTGCTGAAGAGCCTGGCTGCCTTCTTCCCTCCATCCTCTTCTCTCTGTGCCAAGACTACCAGATACACTATTTTGTTTCTAGCTCACTGGACTTTTTTTGTACTATCATTTTATTATCCTTTATACTGTATTCCCTCATATGAGTGTACTCTTATTATATACACTATATTATTTCTACTCTTGACTTTAACATTTCTTACAAAGAAATGTGTCATCTTAAAGTACATTCTTTATTAACAGCAATACTATTATAACGGAGTTAGACAAATTCCACAAAAATGTCTCCTCCACATTCTAGTAATAAAAAGAGTCCATCAGTCCTCTTGAAGAATTTTTAATAGAATACTTGACTTGAACTACAGTTAATAACAAAGTATTTTATACTTAAAAATTGCTAAGAGTGGATTTTAAGTGTTCTCGCCACACAAAAAATGTTAAGTATGTCAGGTGTAATGCATTATGTTAATTAGCTTGATTTAGCCATTCCACAATGTATACACATTTCAAAGCATTATGTTGTATACCATCAATATATACGATTTTTATCTGTCAATTAAAAAATGAATTTTAAAGCGAAGATAATTTAATTAATTCACTTTTTGAAATGAAAAGCATCAAAGGTGGAAGAAGCTACGCATATCCTCAAGGAACTGAGAGAAAAGCCACGTGGGAAACCCAGTAAGCCAAGGGGCAAGTAGCATGAAACAAGATTGCACAGGTGGACAGGGGGCCAGGTGAGGTGAGACCTTGCAGGAGTTTAGATTCCATTCTAAGCGCAAAAGAAGGCACTGAAAACAAAGCAGGGGGCTCATAACATAGTTTATGTTTTAGAAATGCTTTGGTACTGGATGAAGGACAGATTTGAAGGGGTTCGAGAGTAGAAGCCAAGCCAGGAGACCGATTAGGAAGCCGTTGTCTTTAGAGGAACTAAGGTTCCTTGGAAAAAAGAATATCATAAATGATAGAAATGTCCTGTCAAAATATGACCAGGAACTGGGGGAGGAGAATCGTCTTCATATTACTGATTATTGACCGACATGATATTCTGTTTATTAATTTATATAATTGTTTATCTGTTCAGTATCTGTCTCTCCAGTTAGAAAGTAAGCATAATGAGGGTTAGGAACCGCGCCTTGGTCATTCCCGTATCTCCAGTACAGAACTGTGTCTGCCATGTGGATTCCGTATAAATATTTGCTGAATGAATGGACAGAAAATAAAAGAATACTTGAACATGGATGTGCACACACCAGTGGAAACAAACACCTACTTCTAAGAGATAGTGATGGTTTCAAGCCACAGATACTTTTGTCCACATGTTTTTTTCTGCCCTGTTCTCCAGAGCTGTTTTGAACATTAGCAACTTTAGCACCTGGTTACTCAAGCACTGCTGGGATATTTGGCCTCTCAAAACAACATTAATTGGTTTCCAGGCAATAGATTTGAGAGGAATAGATGATTGCTGTTTTTTCACAGGAAAGAAAATGGCCTTTCATGGAAACCCCAAGCGTGCTATTTCCACAACAGGTGATGGTAATTTGGAGCATCCTCTTTCACACAGGCTACCCTAAGCTCATTAAAACCCAGAAATAGGCCTAGGAAACTCTGGGCTCATCCATCTCCCAGGGAGAGAAAGGGACCCAGGCCAGATTCTTTCTTACCCTACTGCCTGCCTGCCTGCCAGTTCACCCTGAAAAGCCCAAATTAGCTTGATCTGTGCTTGGCCAAGGAGGACCAGTAGGCATGCACGGTTCTTTCCCTCTGCAATGTTTCCCCACCACCTGTCCCCTCCCCCTTCATTACATTTGAAATCTTTTTCACAGAGGATTTGAAAAATTGAAGAAAGCCAGTCATGCAACTCTTTGCCTGACATATTTTAGCGCAAATGACTTTCAATTAAAATGCAATCACTCAGTCACCAGGTTTAAAGGACTGATAGAGATTTGGCTAGTGTTTCATGACAAGGAGACTAGTAAAGAGAACAGAAGGGCATTGTGCAGACATCAGTGTGGGAGAAAAGGGCTGACGAAGGAAAAGACTGGAGACTCACTGCAAACTTCTCAGTCTTGCTGAAGGCGGGTCCTGTTTATCCTCAACTGGGCGGAGACAAATAAAAACTGTGCACCTGGTATTTGTGTTGTGCAGCTGTAAACTTAAGAGCTCCGTATCATATGATTTATGAAAATGTGCTACTTTTTTCTTTTTAATGTATGCTTGACTTCCTACAAGGGAGCGTTTTCCCCTGAAGATTCATTAATGGAGGTTACACCGTGGTCTTAAAAGGGAGTCCGGTGGGAAGTTTAATTATTTACAATTGAAAATATAGAACATATGCCTGGTCTGCACAGCTGAAGATACAATTAGAAGTTAGTAGAGAGAGAACAGGGTGAGGGCGTGCAGAAATTTCGAACGTTAAAAAGAAAATTCCCCCCAAATTGCTCACAAATGTGAAGGATTAGTCAACATACATGGGGCTCTCTGAAACTTTTTGGCAGCCCATAATTTCTTCGTTATTGAATAGTTGTGAGCTAAAAAATTGCTTCCCTTCTCAATTCCATTGTGTTAGACATTTTTAATGAAGTAGCAAATTTGTGGCTCAACAGGAAAAGCTCACTGACAGTGTATTAGAATTTATAATCCCAGCAGACATATCTAGTTACTTCACTTTTAGGTTACTGCACACCTGTATGATGTACATGTATTGGTAGATACATTACTGATGCAAATACCTTTGCAGACACCTGCATGCTGTTTTCTTGCATGTTCATAATGGCTTCAGAAATCTTGACGTCTATGGGGTCCATGACCGACTCAATGTTGAATGGCCCCTCCAGTCGCTCCGCCACCAAGAGCATTGCATCTGTTAAAATACAGGAACATGATTTATTTGTGAATTGGGAGCTCTGGCTCTTCACCAGTGATTAAACATTTTCAAAACAACTGGTTAAAAAACTGTGCATTCAATTTTTTTTATTTGCTTTTATACAGTCCAAAATGAAATAGATGACTAAAGCTTAAAATCATATTTTATTTCATTTGAGGATTCAAAATTATTTAGAACCAGGCCTGAAAATAAGAAAATTAGTCCAAATGCAGAGTGTTGGAAATATTTAATTATTTCACATGAAATAGAAACAATATTGGGTCCGAGATCAACCGCATTTAGAAAATGGGGTCTGACCTCCCTGTGTTGGAGTCTACAGGAAACTGAGAATCTTGGAGAAGAAATGCTGATTTGTAAATTTGGATGTACAAATGTCAAGACCCAACTCAAACATATCTATCTGTGTGAAGCATTTCTGGATCTCCTAAGAAGAACAGGCCTATCTCTACTTTAGGCTATCACTCTACCTAACATGCCGTTCTGGTTTTGAATTTCAACACCCCTTGGGAGACAGGGGAACTTCTATTACTTGGTTTTGTACATTCAGATCTATTACGGTACCCATCACATTGTAAGCTCTCAAAAATGTCTATATTGAACTGAACTGAGTATTGCTTGGGAAGATTTAGTTTTCTGTTGAAGACATCAGCTCCACTGAAAGTCTAGTAGCCATTGTGGCCTGGCCAAAAAGGACAAGTTTTTGGATTGCATCATAAGGACTTAACATAGAGTCACAGTTTAAAATTATGGGGTCAAAAACATCTTTGAGAAGGTTCTCTTACTTCTTGTTTAAATTAAAACACTCTCTCCTCTAGCAGAACTTCCCTTCTATAGGTAAGGCAAGAAGGTGTTTGATTTGTATCATAAAGTAGGGAAGTTTTTCCCTGGTGATTTCAGCTTTTCTGTTCCATGCTCCTCCCTGACCGTGGCACTAGCCTTGTAGGCTTCTGGGCCTGCAAACTCATCTCCCCCAACCATGATAAATGTGCCCATGGTAACCTTCTCTAAGTAGTTGCCTCCTGGGCCTTGGAAAAATGCAATCCTATTGATAACCTGGCACTATTAAACACGCAACCAAATGGTTACACTTATCCAAACTGCTTGCCTCTGTATTTCTGTTCTTTGTCTCAATTAATTTGCTTTGTTATATAAACTAATTTAAGATGATAAATTTGTGGTGTATATATAGATGTATATACCTATATTTATTTTTATTTTAATTTAGATTACCAGTCAGAATATGCTATTTTAAACTATTTGTTATCTGGTTTAGGCTATTGCTAATTAAAAAAAAACACAATATAAATAAAAATACTTCACTATATACAATTCAATTCTCCTTTGAAGACTCAAAAGCCAATATAAGTTGTCTCAAAAACCTCAGGATCATCATTAAGAGAAGTAGTGTGCATACAGCTAACCATACTGTATTATATACTTAAAAATTTGTTGAGAAAAAAAAATTGTTGAGGGTAAATTTCATGTTATTTGATTTTTTATAATAATAATAATAAGAGCAGTAATGACTACTGTGCTAATTAACTTCAGAAGTTCTTATTAATCAAAATACCTGTTGATAAATCATTAAATAGTATGAATGTACACAAATAAATTGAAACACTGTGTTCCTTTTACCAAAAAACCCACAAATTATTCAAATTCTTAGAAAAGCTTAGCTAAAATTGTGTGTGAAATATCTAGATAGAATAACATGGATGCACTGATGATATGTAAGTTTTTGTTAAGAATGGGAGGAAGGCTGACACAGGGATATAAATAGTGGGTTTGGGGGTTTTTATTTTCCTTACTACAAAGTTGTTTGTGAAAATAAATCAGTTGATAAGCCTACACAAAAACTCATATGTAGATGTCCACAAGTGGAAAAAAATTTTAAAACCAAAAATCCATGTATTCGTATGATATACTCATCCCCACCCCCAGCTCCCCATATTGTCCTAAATATGCATGACATGAAAGGAAGAGCAGCTTTTTAGAAAACTCCTCCAGTATTTTACATTTCCACTGTAAAGGGTCATGCTTATAGCAATTGCCTTTAGAGGTCAAGTTCAGACACATTACAAGGTAAGAAAGAAGTAGTGGAAGATCAGAGCTGTCCAGCCCTGGGACTCGGAACAGGGTTTTGATCAAATGGCAGCTCCTTCTTGGCCCCAGGCACCAGACATAGAGCAGTTCTGTGTGGTCTACTGAGCAACCACGTGCATCTTTGCTCGACTGGTTTGCTTCCCACCTACAGGGCAAGCCTGTCATGAGTCAAGCTCCCTGAGCTTAAGGAGAACCTTCTTTCTATCTTGGGGCTGAGAAAAGCCATGCCTAGGACACACCAGCCTCTCTCTCATCCCAAAGTGAAGAAAATACAAAATAATTTTGTGACATCAAGGCAGTAGTTGCTGTTTCTCTGAAATCAGTTAAGTCACAACAGGTCTATAGCTTACTCCAGAGGCTGCCATCCTGGGCTGTCTTAATTATCTCTGTGCCATTTCTATTTTGAAATATTTGGAACGTTATTTTTAACTCTGCTCTTGGAGCTGTTACCTCTTGCCAATTAAACCAGGACAGTTATAGTATGTCAGCTAATGATCAGCTGATCATTTCAGTGTCTATCTTCTGTGTCATCCAAATTGTGTTTCTCTTTAAACAAGATTGTTGCCTTGCTCAAGTGGTATATGTCATTTTTGTTTCTAAATGGAGAATAAAATCTAGATGGATTAGAAATAACTGAAATCTCAGCATATGATACCAATGCTCACAGAGAGACACTGACTGTGTGTTAGCATGCGGGGAAGTGTGTGGCAGCTCCACCAGGGGTGCCCCCCGCAAAGGCAAGAAGCCAGGATGCAGGTAAAGCAATGCCTCTGGGCCAAGGCATTCTGCTCTTGAAAGCATGGACTTTCTGGTGAGGAATGAGGGCTATGGATTCAGGTGTCTGTGTTTCAATCTAAGCCCCCACATTAAATGGCTGGGAGATAACATATGAGCCGCTTAATTCACAAAGTCCCATTTCTTCACTTATGAGATGGAGATTAAGACAATATCCACCTTATAGTGGTGGTATGAGCAATGAAATGATATAGTGCTCATAAAGTCACATGCACAATGCCTGGCATGTAATTACCTCTTAACAAAGTTTAACTTTTATAAGTCACCAACTCCAGGCACTGTAATTGGAAAGAGAGGACCAATATGCAAGATATTTTGGTGAAAATATTGGGAGCAATTGATGTGAGGAGTAAGGGAGTAAAAGGCACATGGATGACTTTAAGATGTATAGCTGGTGCTCCCTGGTGTGTCAAATCAATGTTTTGATGCCTTTCGATGGATGAGTTCATTACTGAGAGATAAGAAACTGCACTATTTTCTCATAATGTTCTATTTTACCAATTACAGATGATTATAAAGTCTTTGATCTGCTTCCAATTGAGAGGTGTGGTTTATGTCCCTTTGAATCTGGGTTGGCTCCGTGACTGCTGTGACTAATAGCATATAGTGGAAATGACACTGCCAGTTTTCAGAGCTAGTATTTAAGAGACCACTGCTTCTACTTTCTGTCTCTTGCAAGATTCTATTCTGAGATCACAGTGCTGGAGAGGCCACTTGTAGGTGACAGTCCCAGTTGGGCCCAGATTTCTAGCCCCCTCTGCCAAGGTGCCAGACATGAGCAAAGCTGTCTTGGATCTTCCAGATCAGTCTATCTGCCAGGTGACTGCCACCTAGTGACCCAAGTCAACACCATGTGGAGCAGAAGAATCAACCAGCTGAGCCTTGTCCAAATTCCTGATCCGCAGTGCTCTGATTTATAGTAGTATGGTTATTATTTTAAGCTGCTAAATTTAGGGATAATTTATTTTGGAGCAATAAAAAACTGGAGCAGCCATAGGGTAATATTTATAAAATACTCAGATAATTTTTCCTCTTTGTTTGACAGGGCTCAAATGTTCAGAATTCTATTCAATTACTATTAAACAAATTCAGCATTTATGATATACTCCCATGATTACAAACATTGGGACAGTCAAGAAAAAATAAAATATTGCCTTGAAGGGAACAAACAGAAAGAATTTGCTCTAAGTCTGTAGGGCATGACGGTACACCAAAGGCATGCCAGCTAGCTTCAGATTAGAAAACATGTGTGCCCTGGGATGTAAGCATGAGAGAGATACAGAATAGGGCTGGAATAAGGAAATGATTCTGGTTTTTTCCTAAATGTCGACTTTATGAAGAGTAAAGTTTCTGACACAGGGAGCTAGATGGTATCTCAGATCTCTAGATAGCATTGCCTTGAAAACTCTCTTACTGATGTTTTCAGTAAGGGGACTCTTGAATGTATATGTTTCTCTAGGATATAAATATTAAGTGTGACTTTGTATGAACATATATATTTTTAACTTACTTCCTAAGAGAGGGAGGTATAAAAGTAGAAATTATTTTGCTGAATGTCACTTACTTTAACCTGGAAGATAATGATTTTCAAAATGTGTTAGAGAAGGCAAGAAGAGAAAGTCTGTCTTTTCAAATGTGATATTATTTTGATTTTCCTAAGTAATTATAGAGTAGGGAAAAATCCTTGAAAAAATTTAAATCAAATAAGTTCAACTTAATTTAATAACTATTTGTTATATGCCAAAGAGGGTCACTGTGTCACTGTGAATTGGTGAGCGGTACAAAAGTAGTACCCCACATGGCGTTTAGAATCTTTTTGAAATGACACAGATGAAGCATATAAATATTAAAACTGTTTTTTCCTTCCTTTGAGGGAAATTTGAATTAAAATAATAATGTGTCATTTCAAAGTTCTCATTAAATCATCTAAATTTGTCCTTAATAATCTACTCTTTAAAAACTGACATCTATAAGCATAACCTACTGATTGTTGTATCAGAATTCTGTTGCATCCAACTTCACTCTTTTCTTTAGAAGCAATGCTCACCCACTCTTGTACATCTGCTGCCCTATTGTTT